TATGAAGCAGGGAAGAAGGGCCAACGCTATCACCAGGATTCAACATTTCTCTCCCCATACTCAAGTGTTCCTTTCCCTTGTTAGGTCGTCTCAGAGGGGTTCTGACTCAGTGATGACTCTCAGCACCTTATCCTTAATAATTCTTGAAAAGAAAAGATTTATATTAGCTTTTCATCAGCAGTGTTTATGTTATTTTGCCAAATCTGCACCAAGACTGATTGGCTGGGCTTGAGTTTTATCCTTATCCTAGATAGAGTGGTTGGGGTTAGAGTCATACCAGCCACATGGAATTAGCATGGAAAAATATTGCTCATAAGAAAAATCAGAGTATGGTTATTAGAATAAGGGATAGCAGAAGTGTGACAGGCAGGAAGAATAGACATTTAAACATTTGATGACTCTTTTAATCTACTTTTCTTCATATTCTCTCAAGTGAGGCATAATCCTAATTGGATCCTGGCATGTTGGGTATAATTATATTTATAATTTGTTTTAGATCTTATAAAAGCATCATTAGGTTTGATAGGGATGAGATCCACTGTTTAGAGGGTAGATGAAATGACACAAGTCTGCTTACAAAACTGTTAAAACAAAAACAAAACAAAACGGTGTTCTTAATGCCAAAGTGATATCAAGCCATGAATCCTTCTGGAATTAAAGAAGTATGCTCACTAACCATAAGTGGAAAGGTTAAATCAGGGAATTGTCTGGAAGTCAGTATTCCCTCTTCAGTGCTATGTGCCATTCATGTTTCTGAAGAACATGCCATCTGAGAACAATCTTAGTATGGGCCTTGACAAGTCTTCCTTGTGTCCCACAATTGGCCCCTTTGTGGATGACTGTAATTATTACCCCCAGTTCTGGGTGTATTTCAAATAGTGAAATCCTCTAATCCTTAAGCTTTAGAAATGACAGTTAGCTTGATGGAAACATATTGCTTTACATGGTTTACACAGTTGCCCAGAATTATCAACTGCCTGCACAGATGGTGGACACATATGGAAGCATTGCTCACTTTGGGGTGGTCACCAGGACACCCGTGTTGAGGAGAAGCAGTCTTCCCTGTGCAGTTCCAGGTGAATTCTCCAAGTCCATCATAAGCATTTCCAGTGAAATAAAGTTCTATTCATTGCATTATCATCTTAGAATTGAACAGAATGGAAAAAAAAAAAAAGGGAAGGGAAAGAAGGAGGAAAGAAAAAAGGAAAAAAGCTTTAAGTGAAGGTGCAAACTTTAAATAGTATAGGCCACATACCCTAAATTTTAAATATATTATTAACTGCATTATCATTTCTAATCAAGTTACTCAGATGTGGATGGTTTGTGTTGGTATGTAAATCTTCATATCCAATACAGTTCACCTATCTTGTTTCAATTTTATTTATCTTATTTTTTTTAATTTTTATTTATTTTACTATTATTTTTTAATCCATAAATTCATTTAATTTCCACCCCCTGAGCTATTCCACAGGAGCAAGCAGGGTGTGTGTGGACGGGGAACATTGTAGCAGCGACTTCCTGAGTTGTCATGTGCTAAGGACCATGCTCATACTGAACACAAAGCTGTCTACCAGATTAGAGAGACGAATGATATTGGAGAAATGTACCATTTTTTCTGGAACTATTTGCAGGGAGGTCGTGCTGCCATGTCATAGACCAAGGCTTGTCTTTCACCTCCAGTTTGTGTAGGATGCTCTGGGTATCCACATGGTGGCCCCAATGGTTTTGTGCTGAAAAGAAAGCTAATATTTCCCAGATGTCACTAGCAGTGAAAGAGCTAAAGGGATGATTACATTGTTTATGGAAGTCAGGGGGGCTCCTGTGGAAGGCAAATCATGAGCAGATTTGAAAAAACGTTCTCTTCTTCAAACTGAAGTTTAATGAAAGGATAGATTTCTTCTCTCTGTCGGCTGGCCTTTTTCACTTGTAAGGCTGGCACTGGCATGTCCACAATCTGGGTGTGTGGGTGTGGGGTGGGGGAATACATTTTCTTATAGTGGGCTGATCTGGGAGGCAGGTTGAAGAACAGTCCCATGCTTCTGGCTGTCTGGGCAGAATTGCAGTCCTACACAGCCAGTTCCTGAGGATGGGCCAGGTATGTGTCATGCTGGAGGAGACTTAGGAAGGGTTTCTATTTCCCATTAGGCTGAGGCTCTAGAACCATGTGCCCAGTGGAGTAGGTGTGAGAATAGTCGGGCTCTGGAAAGCTGGAATGGGCTGGGGAGGGGAAATGCCACAGCTTGCCAGACTGAATGGAAGAGGTCCTCGCCTGGGACTCTGGGTACTGATGCATAGGCATAGGAACCATTCAAGCTGCAGTTGGTGACAGAATATGTCAAAGATACTTCTGGTTGTGGTTTTGTCCATTGAGAAGAAAAACAGCTGCACTGATTTGGAGACATTTTGTTGTCATTCGTCAGGATCACATCTTCACTCTGGCTTAAGGGACTCACTTCCTGGGGGCTCTTGACAGTGCTCAAAGCTCTAGAGGTATTCATCCACCGTGCCGCTGCTGGCCCCTTGAAAATAGGTGAAAAAGGCACACCAGAAATTCCGCTCAGTCTTTATAGGTCTCTGCACCTCCACGGCAGTCTTCCCTATTTCTTCCATTTCGAGTGACACAGGTGACAGTGTAATTCCTGACCATCACCTAAGACAGCAAGATGCTCTGGCTGGGCAATGGTGCGCTGTGAGGACCAGAGCTGCCTGGCCCACTTTCAAGCAGCTCAGAGTTAATTTTAATTTTTTAGGTAATTTAACTTTTTTTAAAGATTTTATTTATTTTAGGGAGATATAGAGCACAAGCAGGGGGAGGGGCAGAGGGACAGGGACAGAAATGATCCCAAGCAGCAAGCCGACTCCACACTGAGCGTGGAACCCGACATGGGGTTCCACACCAGGACCCTGAGATCATGACCTGAGCCGAAATCAAGACTTGGATGCCCAACCAACTGAGCCACCTAGGCGCCCCTAGGTAATTTAACTTTTTTTGAGATAGATTTTGACATAGAAAAGGGCATGCCAAATTAGTATAGAATGTTCTTGTCTATCTTTGCCCCAAACCTCTAATACAGCATCATACAGAGTGATAATACAATTATTGAACCAGAAAATTAACATTAATACAATACTATTAAACAAACTATAGACCTTATTTAAATTCCATGTCTTTCCACTAAAAGACTATAACTCTAAAAAAGATGAAAAATCTGGGCACCTGGGTGGCTCAGTCGGTTCAGTGTCCTGCTCTTGATTTCACTTCAGATCATGATCTCAGGGTTGTGAGATCAAGCCTCGCATGAGGCTCCACAGTGGGCAGTGGAGCCTGCTTAAGATTCTCCCTCTAACTCTGCCCCCACTCCCCCCTGCTCACATTCTCGCTTTCTCTCTCTCTCTCTCTCTCTCAAAAAAAAAAAAAAAGATGAAAAATCTAAGTGAATATTAAATCTCTAGAGATAATGAAGATATTTCTATGTGTATAAAGATGATAGGAGAAATAGACCATTTATGAGAAAAAATTAAGATTACATATGTCAAAAATATCATAAATAGACACAAACAAAAGGATATTTTTTAACCTACGATCTGAGCAACACTGCAGATTTAGAACATCTGTATTCATCCCCTTGTTATAGTTTACAGTTTTTCTCAATATAGGGATAATATATATTAAATTCCCTTTAAAAACTCTAATCTCGTGCTTTGTTGTATGATGAATATGAATATTTGCCAAAAAAATTACTTGAGTGAATCAAGATAACTCCTCATTTGTGTAAATCATTTCATAGTACTAAAATTCTAAGAAATGAGTTTTTTAGAATTTCAGCTCTTCGCTAAGGAAGAAAAATTAGCCAAAGGTTTCTTTCAAACTGAGGCAGCTGTATCCCCTCCCTGCATGACAGGAAAATAAAATAGGAAATGATGTTCAAAAGGTGAGAATTATAAGTGAAGAACTCTCAAATTTGATGTATTCATTCATTCAGTTACTCATCATTCAGTTATTCATTCTGCATAAATTGTGTTCAGTTTGCTCATAGTGCTCATCAGACTGACTCTCTTTAGAGTCATTATGCATGAGATGTACTTTACCACTACATGGTTTGCTCCTGTGGAGACAGTACAAAGTCTGAATCCTGTGGGTTTCTGTTCTCCTTTAAGTTTTCTGTTCTCCTTTAGCCCGCCTGTCTAAAAGTACCTGAGTTATCAGGACAAAGAAAGAAAAGCCTGAGCATAATGAGGCAGATACAATTGAATAGCTGTAAGGGTTTAGATTCAGATGGCTAAGAACACATGGCTTCTATGTCAGAAGTAACAAACATTCATCTATGAATCAAGGTCAATTATGGTGAGTTCAAAGGATTATCATATCTGTCCAGACTCAAGCCCAGCAGAGAGAGTACACTTATTGGCCTGAAAAAAGAAATGGCTTCTGAGCATCAAGAAGCCTTTTGAGTATAATTCACAGGCCTCCAGAATATAAGAGGACTCAAAGCTGTAGTCTTTAAAGGGAGTACAGACCCTCATGGGTGTGTGACTACATTATACTAGGATCCAAGGTAACCAGAATCCTAACGAATCATTGAACACTACATCAAAAATTAATGATGTACTATATGTTGGCTAATTGAACATAGTGATTAAAAAAACCCAATGTTTGCTGTTTAGAGATGTGTTTTCAAAAACCAGCATCAACTGCAGATTTGAAACTAAAATTATTTTTTAATATAAAATATGCAGATATAATAAAACAGCATTAAATGTAAGGCCAAATAAAGTTCCATCTTTTCAAATGAGCGTGTTAATGTGAAGATATCAGAATGTTAATTGAATGAAAGAAACATTCTTTTACATGACAGATTCTACTCCCTTTATGCAACTCCATTACATCTCCTATCATGAAGGACTTATACATGAACAAAACAGAGAAATGTGCCTGACATATTTAAGGAATTGTTAATGGTTTATAATTTCTTAGCAATAAACTATGTTTCTTTCATCAGAATAAAAGCTTGAAGAACAAACTCTTGTCAGGAAGCAAGCTGTGTGGCATCCATGCAGAAGAGGTGAGTACATTTTCTAGCTTCAGTGGAATAGAGAGTGCCAAAATATTAGCACCAGATTGTTCTTCCTTAACCCGGAAACCTGGAGACTTCGTCTGTCACTAACATAAATGAAAACACTGGAACAGAAAAATGAAAACAGATTTTAAACTTTTGGGTGTTTTGGGGTGTTTTAAAATTGCATAACCAAAAAAAGAAATTAAGCCAGTTGAGCGTTGCTTCCCTAAAGTGATTTTATGTATTCCATCCTTAACTGGATTACCAGGATTTTCTTAATAGCAAATACCTGGAGGTCAATGAAATTTTTATTTTTTTGAGCCATCTACTATGTGATGTCTACAAAGTTTTGCAATGACAATGAAATGTCAGAATGAGGATTCTGGGGTTGACCATAAACTTTAAGAAACAAACAATCATTGGGTCTACTTGCTAGGCAGGAAAATTGTTTCATGCATTTATTAGTGGGGGGTGGGGGAGTCATTCTGGTTAATTTAGATTTACCTAAAATCAATTTCCATCTGTGCTTTATGATCCCCTATTTAATGCTATAGACATGTAGCTCATGTAATTCTTAGTGATAGTAATGTGATAGTAAAGACAGTGTCATAGTAAGTCATTCTTTTCCTGGAGGAGAGGAGACCACAATTACTGTGTTAGCTGGATCCTCCAACAAGCACATGAAATATGAGACTCGTTGTGCAAGGGATTTATTAATGGAAAAACCTGTGAATGATAAAGAGTAAGCATGAGAGTCCTCATACCACACATACCACAATGTAGATCTGGTATCTGTTAAAGAAGGGGGAAGGAAAGTGGTATAGATAGAACAAGAACAGTGGCTCACACAAGTTAAAAGTTTAACCCCTTTCCTGTAGTGGTTAGAAGTAAGGCACAGAGCTGGTGAAATACCACTATCATTTTCTAATTGTGGATCTACCTTTTGTTTCAATGACCTTTCCCTGTTACTATCACCTTCTAGCAGAAGGGACAGAGAAGATTATCTGGTGACTCACAAGCATTGCTTTTTAGAAGTCCAGCTAGGAAGAAGTGACACATGTCTCATTGCATCCTATTTGCCAGACGTAGGTCACATGCCTAGCCAAGCTGAATGGAGTCTGGAAAATGTCATTAGGTTGGTGGTCATGCGCTTATCCAGACCTTGGGATTTTTTTTTAGTAAACAAGCTGAGAATACTCCCTGATGGACATGTAAAAGTCCTTGCCACTCAACACTGAAGTTAGAGTCTGACATGAAATATAATACCTGTTTATAATGCCTTCACAATAATACTGTACATGAAATGAGTAAAAATTTTCAGTACATGGAAACTAAAGGTTGATGCTCCATAAATGAATAATCAAACTGAATAGCTTGTGAATATGAGCCAGTTTGGTATTTCTTTCATTATACTTTTCTATCTGAATAGACACAGACACTTAACATTGTTTAATGTACTAGGTTTCTAGAAATATTACATGAGTAATGTGCCGTTTCTGTATATTACTTATAAGAGGGTAAGCAAGGGGAACCAATTTTTGAATAAGTACTATATGGTTTGAAGCTATATTCTGAGATGGTTACCATGTTCTCAGGGTCCCCACAACACTCACGGGAGAGAGATGGCCCCTAGGCAAAGTTGCCTGTGCTGTTTAGAAACGAACAAATGAATAAATAAGCAACAACAATCTGGGTCCACCTGTATTTTTAGTCCCTTAGTTCATGAATGATTCATTTCTTTAAATTCATCTCAATTCCTTAGAGGATACATTATATCTGCATTTTAATTTACGCATTCCTAGATGCTTCATAATATTAGTACTGCATAATGTTGAAATCAGTTTATTTATTTGACCTATCTTTTTATTTATTTATGGAAAAAATTTGGAGTTTAACATTCTGGGAAATAACAGAGGCATATATATATATATATTTTTTTTCCTGTCACAAAAACACTTCCCAAGAATATGGGTAATAAATGTAATTATTTGTTTTAACACCACCACTACCACCAAAACAAAATAGTAATGTCTTCTCTCAGTTTAGGAGCTAAAAAGGAGCTGTCTTCTAAATCAGTGACCCTAAACTATTCATAGATAAACATCCAGATCCCATTGACACCTAATGGATTGCCAGTGTTTTAATTTGCCAAGGCAGAATATTGAAAACAGTAGAGTCTACTGTAAATACCACTACAATCATCTTCACTGTTATTTCATGAAGGAAATGCTACTTGGACATGAATTGTAGAGAAGAAAAATGTCAGAGACTAGCTAAAATATTCTATCACGGGCGCCTGGGTGGCTCAGTTGGTTAAGTGTCTGCCTTCAGCTCAGGTCATGATCCTAGGGTCCTGGGATCGAGCCCTGCATGGGGCTCCCTGCTCAGTGGGGAGCCTGCTTCTTCCTCTCCCTGTGCCTGCCCCTCCCCGCCTCCCACCTCGCTTATACTCTCTCTCTCTCTCTCTCTCTCTCTCTCTGTCAAATAAATAAATAAATGAAATCTTTAAAAAATAAAATTAAATGAAAAAATAAAATAAAATGTTCTATCATATCCATCTTCTTTGTCTTCACCTTCTCCTTGCCATCTTTTTATTATACTTACAATCAGCATCATCATCACAAACTTAATTTTACTACAGACTTGTGAAAACTTCATGACTCACAGGCATCAACATGTAAAATGACATTTAAAACCATTAGTTTTAAAAATTACTAAAATCCGGCAACCCTCCTGGGTCCCCTCCCTCCTTGGGAGTTTTGTACTATCACTTCGCAATCACTCAATAAACCTTGCTTTGCTGCCCACCAAAAAAAATTACTAAAATCCCCAATATAGCAATAGCTCAATGGTTTCAAGTTTACCCTTCTGACAATTTTAGCTTTTCAAAATGATGCCCTAGGAAGCTAAAAGAAAACAAAATGTCATGGGGTTTTAGATCAATGTGCGTTACAAAATGAGCTCAACTCAAATTTTGCACTTATTCTTACTGTGCATACTCTCATCAGATCTTTAGATAGGATTTTGATTTTTAACTCACTGAACATTAGAAGATAGCTGGAATATGCAAAGCAGAGAAGTGATGACTGTGATGAAAATTTCTAAAAAAAAATTCTAAATAATCTTAACTAAGCTCAGGAAATCTAACTGTTCTTGCTCACTTAGTGCAGCACAAAGATATGTAGCCTTTTATTATAGTTCCTGAATGAATCACTGCATAACACAAAAACTGATGTTTTAATAATTAATTCAAGTTATGAATAAAAGTTTAAATTATATTCTGTGCATTCAGCATAAATATGCATTAAAATAAATACCCAAAATGGTTAAAATTAGTCTTTTCTGACACTTAAAAAATAGAGCATTAATTATTTGAAAGAGTAGAAGTGAAATTGAGCAAATCACGCACACCATATGTAGTGGTAACCTCTCATTCCCCTTTGATGTTGGTCAACATTCGTTTGGAAAAATAAATAAACTCTGTTTACCTAAGGGACTGTCCTGGCTATAAATGAGTCCTGGACAACAGATTGAAACAGGAGGGAGACAGTGCCAATCAACTGTGCATTTGAAGTTGGAGAAGATAACAGAAATGATTTTTTACTGAAATCAGTAGCACAAAATTAAGAATAGCCTCAAAAACCAGCAGATGTCTTGGAGATGAAATTAATGTAACAAGAGAGAGATGCTATGTCAGAGACATCATCATTAGGGGTTACTTGGGGAATTTTGTGCCAGGAGAACAGAGCTGTAATGTAGAATCCTGAACCAGAAGTATAAATTCAGGAGGCTGGGGGTTTCAAGTGAGAGTTTTTATTCTCAAGAGCCAGGATCAACCCTACACATAGAGTGATGGCTCATTGTCTTCTATGCATTCTATCCTGCATTTCACTTTCAGTAAACATATCAAGGGAAAGAGGATGACTTTTTATGGAAATGAAAAAAATAGTAGCTAGTTTATAAAAAACAAACAAACGAATCCTTGCTTCTTCTGGGTATAGAGTTTCATTGCACAGTTCTGAATTGTTAATGAGTCAAATTCTTTCTCCCTGCTTTCCACTCCCCCATCTCAAGTCACCACTCTCCCCCCTTTACTTTTCCTCTCTCCCTCTTTCCTTGTCTTCCTTTCCTTTATTTCTTTTCATTTTATTTTCTTTTTGTTCTCTGTTATCAATTTCCTGATTCAATAGATCCCAGAATGCAGTTGGTTCATGATAGGGATGTCTGTGAAAACTGTTTCTAATAGTAGAGCCTTGTGGTGGTGACCATAGGCAACACTTTGAAGATTCTACTCTAATTGGTGGGCTTCCAGCATTAGACAAGAATTCAGGAATTATAACACCATCATAACAGTCTCCCACTTGGCAAACTCTCCTATCTTGCATCATTAGACATGTTCTGAATATAACAACAAACTGAACCATAGTATACCTGCAGTTGATTCCGTGAAAGACTCATAGACATTCGGTGTAAGCTAGGAAAATTATAATATTTCAAAAAACGTGAGTGGGCTTCATTTGTTGAAGAGGACCTTCATATCAACACAGTTTATTGGGCTATAATAGTCCCATGAGGATCTTGTGTTTAGTATATACTATGGCCAACTACTTTTAAAATTGAATTTTATTAAGATATAATTTGCATACAATTCATCCTATTTAAGTATACCATTGAATGGGTTTGATCAATGTATATATTAAAGATACAGAACATCATCATCCCCAATATTTTCTCCTGCTATTTTATAATCTCTACCACAAATCCCCAGCCAAGGTCAACTACTAGCCTGATTTCTAGCCCTATCCTTTTGTCTTTTTTAGAATATCATATAAATGGCATTATACAAAAGATAGCTTCTAATGACTGGATTATTTCACATAGTATAATGCTTTTGGGGAGGGTATGTGCTGTGGTGAGCGCTGTGAATTGTGTAAGACTGTTGAATCACAGACCTGTACCTCTGGAACAAATAATACATTATATGTTAAAAAAAAAAAAAAAGAAGAAGAAGAAGAAGATAGCAGGAAGGGAAAAATGAAGGGGGGGTAAATCGGAGGGGGAGACGAACCATGAAAGACCATGAGAGACCTCTGAGAAACAAACTGAGGCTTCTAGAGGGGAGGCGGGTGGGGGGATGGGTTAGCCTGGTGATGGGTATTAAGGAGGGCACGTTCTGCATGGAGCACTGGGTGTTATATGCAAACAATGAATCATGGAACACTACATCAAACACTAATGATGTATATTGTATGGTGATTAACATAACAGAATAAAATAAAAAAAATCTAGTTATTCACCAGAGTGACACATTAAAAAAAATAAAATAAAAATTAAAAAAACTCCATCCACACTGTTTTTTTTTTCTATCCACACTGTTACATGCTTCAGTACTTAATTCACTTTTTTAAAATTGCTCAACAGTATTGTAGTATTTCATGAATGTACCATAAAATGTTTGCTATTTACCAGTTAATGGACTTGTAGGTTGTTTCCAGCTTTTGACTCTTATGAATAAAGATACTATAAACATTTATGTATGTAGAAAGAATTGCTGTATTATGCAGTTTGTGTATGTTTAACTTTATAAGAAACCACCAAACTGTTTCCCGAAGTGACTATACCATTTTATACTTTTACTATTCACCTATTTTACTATTTTTTTCAATTATCATTTTTTATGTGACTATGATAATCTATTTGTGTTTTTGGTTCTCCTACGGAGGGGTCAGAACCTGTAATTTTAGATACAGAAGGACAAATAACTGAGGTCCTTATGTTAGAATGTTTGAAATTGGATCTGCTCTGGAAAAATGGGAAGATAGGATCATCATCTGTGGTTCACCAGGTATATTTCCATTAGTAAGCAAACATGTCCTGCTGAGAGAAATTTTCTTGTTATAAAGCACTTTTATATTTGGCATAGTTCTCTTAAAAAGTGCATTCTTCTACAGAGCAAACACCCTTCACCTCAGCATCTTAGCATTCTAGCTGTTTACTTTGCTTCCTGTCACATTTGCTTGCTGCCTTCCCTTTGGACATACATCAAATTCAAACTTGGTTGTCAGTTTAAATTTCACATATTTGATCTTAAAAAGGAAGTAATTGTAAATAAGCAGAGAAAACTGAGGCATACATATACATAGGTATATTTAGCATCTAAAATTGGATTGTTGGACATACTCTGGTGACTAAAATTCTGTGTGTGTGTGTGTGTGTGTGTGTGTATGTGTGTGTGGGGTGTGTGTGTGTGTGTATTCTTTTTTGGCAGGAGGGGAAGCTGGGGAGAGAAACAATAAACTACTTTCTTTAAATATTGCCTTTTAAACAATATGGTTCCTATTGTGTGTCAACTATACTCAAAAATTAAAAGTTAAAAAGTAAAATTTCTACAAAAATTAAACAACATGGTTCTTTTGCACACCTTTGGTTTTGTCCTCCTGCCTAGGCTAGCTGGAAGTCCAACTTGGAAGGCAGAGATTGAGCTTTTGCTTGACTGCAAAATTCACTCTTGTACAGTTTAAAATAATTTTCATCTTTAAGTTTGAAAATATAAATGAAATTGAGGCACTAATCTATGTTTCTGTTTTTGCAGTCAAAAAAAATCCAAGCCCAGCTGAAGGAGCTTCGTTATGGGAAGAAGGATTTATTATTTAAGGTGAGCATCTTTCTCCTTTTCCAAACCTTTACCCTCCCAGTACGCAAACTATAATATCATTTAGCTTAAATTTAATTTCTGGATTTTTGTAAGAATTACAGCTGTATTTGACTGCATTGAAGACACGTTGATTTTCTTGCCTTCTTAATTAATGGAGACAAATGCAGATATGGTTTCCTGGGTACATTCTTAATCAAAGGCAGGCATCATTCCAAAGTGTTTAAAGTCCCTTTGTAACCTTCAGTTACTTTAATTCAATATTGAAGAGTGTGGTCTTTCAAAATATTTACATTAAGGACAGCATAGATTGAGTGAATTTCCAGAGATGAGATCCAGTGGTGATCTACATTCTTGACCTCCAGAGATCCTTGCATAAATCTCTTTATTACTAAGAGTCTTTATATTTAATCATTGTTGATTGATTTTAATTATTGATACTTTTCTTTACAAGACTGTCAAGTCAAGATATATGTATAGGTAGACATCTACTGGAATAATGGCCTTCCAAAGATATCCACTTGCTAATTCCTGCAACCTATGAATCTTATACCTTATGGCAAAGGAGATTTTGCAGATGTGATTAAGTTAAGGATCTTCAGATAGGAAGGTTTTTCCAAAATATCCAGGTGAAACCTAAGTATAATCATACAAGTCCTTATAAGAGTAAGTCAAAAAGGCCTAAATATGAAGATTATGTGATCACAGAAGCTGGAGGAGGAAAGACAGTGTAATGTAGAATTTCCTTCCTACAACCTCCAGAAAGAACCAGCCCTACCAACCCCTTGATCTTAGTCCCATAAAATTTATTTCGGATTTCAGACTCTCAGAACTATAAGAGAGTAGAAGTGTTTTGTTTTGGTTTGGTTTGGTTTTAAGCCACTTAGTTCATGGTAGTTTGTTATAGCAACAAGATGAAACTTTCTTTTATCTCCCTTCAAGAAGGGGAGATGAAAGGTAGTTGTCTTTAATTGTTGTGCTTATGGTCCATGTGCATTTCCAAATGCAGTAAAATCATGGAATTTTAGGCTCTTAGGAGTAGGAGTAATGATTTGCTTAATAAATAATAAATACGAATTACATTGTGTGTAATAATTTTTTAAAAAATGTTTTCATTACAATGATCAGCTCAATCTACAAGCACAAGGTTTAAATTAAAGAGGGATAATAATTCCTCATTTTATTTAATGGTTGGAAAATCCTGCAATTTTTCTAATGAAAATAATAAGAAATGACACATTTCTCTTCTTTAGCCCCTTTACTTTTGGCTCAGAGTCAGGGGAAGGTGTTCCTATTATGTCAACCAGTATTTACTACCCATTCTATGTGACACATGAATCTGGACATTATCTTGCCATTTACTCTTACATAAATATGCTTCTTGCCATTTCTTTGACCTCATTTACAACAAGATATTCCCCAGCACACCAAGAAAACTGTGAATTAATTCTCATTAATGCTTGCAGACCCCTGCTTCTCAGCACTCTGTTCATTTTATGTCGTAAGTAGATGAAAGTATAAAACCGAAGGCATTTGTCTGTCTACTTTTAATCTTTCATACTGAGACTCGAGCTCAGGGCATCTTAACTTTTATATTCAGGTTGGCCTTAGCTCTTTGCAGTCATCAACAATAAATCCCTGAAATTGGAAAAGAAAGGGCATGCATGTCTGTGTGTATGTATATTTTCATTTGTAGAGAAATTTCCAGTTCTCTGTGAATTAGCTTAACTTAATATCAGGAATGAAATGAAACAAATCCTAGCTCCCTAGAGCTGATATGTTTTAGGCAGTAGGCTGAGAAATTAATGTGAAGATAGATCATATGAGGCTTTTTAAATCTTTTGAATTTCATTTCCCAAATTGGAGAGTTAGCGAAAAGAAAATTTGGGAGAAGAGAATAAGGAGATCCAATAATTTTCAGTGATTTACTTCTTTGTAATATGCCAGTTGTTGAATATACATTAGTAATTTATCAACTTTCAAAAATTACCCAAATCAGGATTTGTTGAAACTCTATGACTTGAAAATGAGACATTATTTGTAAGCCTTATTATTTCAATGTCACTTTGAAAGGAGCACTTACATATGAGATCAGGTGAATTGTGTGTGAATACACCATGAAGCTGCATAAATTAGGATTCCTTCAGCATATACACTCCCCAAAAAGCTATTTAGCAGCAAGATTTTTATTAAATAACAAGAGGTTTATAAACAGGACAATTTTTTAGCTTATTCAGTAGCTAAACAGTGTCAACAGGACCAAATTTTTTGGTTTTCCTACCTTTCCATATCATGATCCTCAACTTACTAAGTTTTGATTCCCCCCCCCGTATATGATAGTGGTTAAAGATTTATAGGCTGTCTTTGTCCAACTCTGTACAAAGTCAAAGAAGAAAAGGAAAAGGCACTTGTTCTTCAGTGTCCTAGTTTTTGTAAAGGAGGAGAGTTTTTTAAGATATTTCCCTAAACTTGGTCATGTATCCATGCAAAAGAAGTGAGACCTTAATATTTTCAGCTTCCATTGTGAAAACAGTTTCTGCTATGATGTATTCATTCATTCATCTTGATGGTATTCACTCATCTGATTTGCCTACTACTATATCAACAATGTACATTTTAGATCTTATGAAAACATATTGAATGAATAAATGAATATATATTATGTATATATATATACATGTATATATGTATATATATATATATACACACGGGTACATGCGTATGCATACATGCATACACAAATAGATGTGTCATGGCAGTATGTGGTAGGAACTCACATACATAGCCCCAAAGGGCATGTGACCACAGAGGTTCACTCATGCACTTTTGAAAATGAACCCACAGAATATCTTAGGTAATAAGATGAGTAGTAGAGGATTCCATTTCAAGTAGTTTCCCTGAAAATCTGTTCAGTTTTGAATAGATTTGATAGTTTGTAATAAAGATAGACTTTGGAGGACGAATGTATGGTATGTGCTGACAGTTGCCAGACATGTTGATAAACTCAGTATCCTTATTTTTGTTTGCGAGCTGGCTTTTGATTGGGAAGGCTGCCAGTAGTAAACATTCTCCACTAAAGCAAGAAGTGAGGCCCTGCTGTTAGTTACCCAAGACTCACGTTACTTTTTATCCTCCTTGATTCCACTTGGAGATGATATTCTCTGGAACATCTACTCTCTATTTTACTGCTCTATTTTACTTTTACTATATCCACTTGTTTAATTTCAGAAGTATTATTTTCTCATTGTAGAAAAATATTTTGAAAAGCTAAAAGAAATCCGGGGTACCTGTATGGCTCAGTTGGTTAAGTTTCTGACTCTTGATTTTGGCTCAGGTCGTGACCTTGGGGTCATGGGATTGAGCCCCACATCGTGCTACGTGCTCGGTGCAGAGTCTGTTTGTCCATCTCCCTCTGCTCCTCCCCCTCCCACCCCTGATCACTCTTTCTCTCTCTCTGTCTCAAATAAATACATAAAATCTTTTAAAAAACCCTAAAAAATCCACTTAAAGTCCCATCACTCAAAGCACGCAATACTTGGAAACATTTTATATTTCTTTTTATTTCCTTTTATACTAGGCATAATCTGCCTTTTGGTATATATATATATGTTAATATAGATTATATATTCTGCTTTTTCACATAATTTTGAAACATAAAGCATCCTTTAATAATTTCTTTGTAAAAATCTAAATGAATAATTTTTCATATGTATATGCCAGAGTGTCTCAGCTTTAACTTTATAAATATTTGTGCAGCTGTCTATTTGTATATGTGTGTGTTGTGATTTTACTATGATGAAAAATGTGTTATTTACAACTTGAGATATAATTTTTATTGAACATACATATAACTATAAAGTAATTCACTAAAATTATTGAAAAATTGGGATGTTACTGATACCTAGTACACTTTTTTGAGTTTTGATTTTTTTTTTTTTACTTTATTGAAGAATAATTGATAAATGCAATCGTATATACTTAAAGTGGTGTTCAGAGTGGCATCGGCACAGTCCTGGCACTGACAGCCTAGAACCATGACCTGGGACCCAGGCGCAGGGCTCAGAGCATCTGCCAGGTGGTCCTCAGCAATGACTGGTCAGAGCCAGGACCTGGGAACTTGGAAGGCAGGGCTCAGAGCAGTGGCAGCTCTCGTCACATTTATGGCAAAGCACTGAGGCATGCATCCCAATCCCAGAGAGTGGGGTTTGGGAACCCTAGGGGCATGTCTCACTGCAACAACAGCTCCAGCCCTGGGGAGGGGATGTAGCAGCAGGGACTCTGGAAGGCTCCATCAGCTGGGCTCAGCATTGGAGTAAACTATGCAAATCCTTGGTGTGGCAAAGGCTGCAAACTTCCATAGTGGTTGAGGCTTGCTGGGGTTCTTCTGTTCTCCCTTTTCCTATGGGGTGAGATTTCTCTGTAGGGATTCCTCCTGGCACTGAGCTGCCTTGGACTGGGGGGTGGGGTGGCATAAATTAAATGCTTCCTATGGTTTTCTATTCGGCCATCCTGATTTGAGTTCCACAGTGTTTTGGCTGCTTCTTCATTGTAGTTCACAGCTTTCCCTGACCTATTTTCATCTGTTTGTAGTTGTTTATTTATTGTTTTTGTGGGAGAGACAAGTGTTGGGACCTCCTAGCCCCCCATCTTGCTGATCTCATCCTTTTTTTGGCTGTGTGATATTCCATTGCCTGTGTGTGTGTGTGTGTGTGTGTGTGTGTGTGTGTGTGTGTGTGTGTAGTTGCTTCCATATCTTGGCTATTGTAACTTCTAAAGATCACAAGTGTTGGCTAATAAAAGTTGCTAAGATTTTAGCTGTTCAGTTAGATTTACAAACTTAAGTTCACTTTATGAATTTTCACTATGGAAGGAGACAAGCTGGCCTTTTCATTTCACATCACAAAAATAGGAAACAGGATGAGAATCACTATGCCTTCTATATACCTAGCATTTATACTGTACCCACTGCTGTTACGAACATTATTGCATCCTCATTCCAACCC